TATATATATATATAAGGAACTCATATTATATTCGTATTATTTATATATTTCAAAAATAAATTAACGAAATATCTCAACAAGGAAAGAACAAAAGAAAAACAAAAAACTTATAAATTAAAATTAATTATTTCCTAAAGAAATTCTTCAAAAGTTTGTAACCTTTTTATCTCGATCGTTTCCAATAAAAATATGAATTCCGATGATCCTACCAACATTTCCTATTACTATCTTTCTTTCATATTATTTTTCTTTTTTTTTTCTTTTTGTTACTTTTTAAAATGAAACTTTTTCATTCTTTCTTTTTCCTTTTCTCATATTTTTGGTACTTCCGCTTTGCTTCTTCGTCTTCTTGGCTCGAGATGGTCGTCGTAGCATTTGGTGTAGGTGGAAGTGGAAATGGAAGTGGAAATGGTAGGCCGGGGGAGGGGGGTCGAGTAGAGGAAAGATAGGAGGGTGAGAGGGGAATCACAAGTTTCCAAGTTGCATTCTCTCGAAGTAGGTTCTACCGACGAGGTAAAGACGTTCGTCAAAGTGTCGTTAAAGCAAAGCTGGAATGCTACTCGAATTCACTATCGAAGATGCGAGACAGTATTGCGCTTCAAAGCTTTCTAGAGGAAAGCTTCAGAGGAAAAAAAAACCGTCCGCGAGCCAAAGCTTCGTGGTGGTGAATCTTTGCCTCATAAGTAGCTTACGGAAAACCATTGACGTAACCGATCATCTTATGGTTAAAGATTAATAATGTGATGTAATTGTTGATGTACAATATTTTGTTTTGTTTTTTGCGAAATGGGTTTATTCTGTAGATTAGGTCAGTTAGATTCAAATTGTGGTCCAGGGCTTCGTGAAAATTTATCTGGTTATTCTAATCAGACATTTTTATTTTTTTAAGTTAAAAATATTTTAAGATTTTCGATTTTTTGACATGGAAATCTTAAAATAAAATGATTCGCGATTGAAAGCAAACGTAGATGTCAACAGTTTGTAGATATAATTGTAAACATGGTGGAAATTGTTAATTGTTATTTAGAAATATCTTAAGTAAAGTAAAATTTTAAGGTTATTAGGTTAGATTTGCATTTTAACTAATAATATTTATAAATAGAAATCAAATAATTAATTAGAAAAGTTTATCATATATTTATTTTTTTCGATACTATTGTTTCGAAAATCTTTTGAGGTTATAATTACTGTGGATGGCATCATGGAGGCTGCCATTTTGTTTTTTTAAGACATTGCGTAATGAATAATATTTATAAATAAAAACCAAATTCTGAATTAGAATAAATTTGTACAATATATATTTATTTTTTTCAATATTATTGTTTTGAAAACCTTTTGAGGTTATAATTGTTAAGGGTGACATCACGGAACCTGCAATTTTTTGTTTTCTAAAACATCATATAACGAATAATATTTATACATAGAAACCAAATATTGAACTAGAAAAGTTTATAATACATTTATTCCTTTTTAATGTTATTATTCAAAAATCTTTTGAGGTTATAATTGCGAGTATGACATCAAGTAAGCTGCCATTTTTTTCTAAAGATATTACATAGTAAATAATATTTATAAATAGAACCCTAATACTAAATTAGAACAAATTTGTACAATATATTTATTCTTTTCGATATTATTGTTTTAAAAACCTTTTGAAGTTATAATTGTTGAGGATGACATCATGGGAGCTGCCATTTTTTTTTTCTAAAGACATTACTTTCCTATATTCAAGATTTGAACACCAGATGTCAGTAATTTTGCATTTAATTGCGAATTATTTGCTTATTATTCAATCTGATAATCTTTTAATTATTATCGATTTTCAATCGACACCAATATGCTTTTGCGCAAAGTAAAAAAAAGGGTTGAGTACCCCTGGTGTAAATATATTTTATTATCTTTACCGTTTCAAACCAAATTTCGGTTAAATTAATAATATATGAACGTTTTAATAATTGAATAAGTAAATTTGTTCGTGTTAAAATAACGCGCTAAACCGCGCATGGTCGAAGATAATAATTTAATAAATAATATAAAAGAGATAACATTTATATTTCTCGTGGGGAGAGAGAGAGAGAGGGGGGGGGGTGAGAGAAATGATAGGAATTAAATTGAAAACAAAAAAAAATTTATAAAACCGTCGAGAATTTTTATTTACCGACCGTGTTACGTCGATAAGGAAGAAACAAAAGAATTGAAAAATTGAACTTGCTATGATTTATATAGGGTGACTTAAAAGTATCATCTGATTTTTAAATAAATTAATTATTTCTCATTATAAACTTTTCATATGTTGTCAATTAGGGTTGTAATTTTATCGAATTTTATTATTAGAACAAAATAAACCTATAAAATTTAGAAAAAGTGTAATTGATCTTGAAAATCTATTATAGTTGAAAAACTTTTGACCTGAACTGTAAGAACAACAGAGAAAGAGAGAGAGCGAGAGAGAGAATGAGAAAGATAGAATGAGAAAGAGAGCAATGGTGGAGGGGTGGGAAGGAAGAAAAAAGGAATGCAATTTTTATCTTTAATTACAAACCTTATTATTTGTATTCGGGGAATGTTGCGTGTGCACGTACGGGAAAGAAGAATCGCAAAGCGAATATTAATTTGTCTGACCAACCCCCTCAGAACGAGAAAAAATTATTCGTTGGGTTCTTGCACTTGGTGACGTCACGTTCCAAACGATAACGAGTACCATCGATATAATTATAATTAATCTCTCGAAATATTACTTTTCTTTGTTCCGGTAATTTCTTATCGTTCTGTGGTTATTTTATTTTCTATTTTCTGTTTTGTTTGTTTATTTGTTCTTGAAGACAAACAAACACAAAAATCTCCGAAGAAATTAATTTTCAATCAACCTATTATAGGTCGTCAGGTTTTTATATTGATAATTCTTACTAACCTAAGTTATAAGTGGTTTCGGTAATATAATATGCAACAAAATTGTTTAGTATTGTATGAGTAATTTAATATTTATTACAATATACTTTTTTATTTTTTTTTTTTTTTTGAAGAAGTACTATATATATGAAATTAATAATTAATTATTAATAACATATATTTATTTGTAAGTCACTTTCCATAATTATTATAATAATAACTTATTATTAATTACAAATGATTTATTTCTTTTTTTTTTTAAGGAGTACTAATTAATTATAATATAATTTAATACACTACTTCATTATAATTAAATTAAATATAATTATATATAATTATATGAAATTATTTAATTATTATAATAGCATATTTTTATTTGTAAGTCAATTTCTATCAATATTATAATAATAACTTATTATTTATTAAAAATTATAGAAATTTTTTTTTGAAGGAGTATTACTTAATTATAACATAAACTAATATACAACTTAATTATAATTAAATTAAATATATAATTATGTATGAAATTATTAATTAATTATTATAATAACATATTTTTATTCATAAGTTACATCTCACGTGACTTACGATTAATAAGATTTTAAATTTACAAATAAAAATTATTTAAAAATTTATTGATAACAACTACGAAATACGAAAACATTATAAACGTAATAAATAACTGACATAAGTTATTATACATCGATGTAAAGTCATTTA